CTTTGTGCATGTACCTGACCCATTGATAATCACGAGGTTTTATACATGACATAGTCTCACAAGTGAAAAGAAGTTATCTATAAATTATCAAGTAGGTTGGAATTTATGGCTTATAGTTGTCAGAAAAAAGTCTGTATATTTGTCAAACATACCATATCATGGAAGGGTGTAGAACCCTCATCTGGAGTCCATAAAATGAATAATACTTAATAAGGTAATTGACATGGTCCCAATGACCCCACTGACTACCTGCTTTGTGCATCAAGGAACCCAAAGAAAAATATCCTTGTGACATTTATGGTGAATATTTGTCTGTCTATCTGTCTATCTGTCTATCTATCTATCTATCTATCTATCTATCTATCTATCTATCTATCTATCTATCTATCTATCTTTCTATCTTACATTATCTATCTATCTTTCTATCTTACATTATCTATCTATCTATCTATCTATCTATCTATCTATCTATCTATCTATCTATCTACCTACCTACCTACCTACCTACCTACCTACCTACCTATCTTATATCATCTATCATTTCTACCAATGCATATGTATGAAGTATAGTATGTGATCTCAGGGTTAATATTAATAATTAATATTGGAATAAAAGAGAAACTGGGAGATAACTTCCAGTGATATCTTGCAAGTGTAAAGACTTTATTTCATCTTCTGGTACCCAGTTATAAAAAGAAACTGTACATGGTAGTGCAGACTTGTAATTTCAGTGTTGGGGAAGTAGAGAAGAGAGAATCTCTGGGACTCCCTAAACAGCATGTCTAGTATTATTGGTGAACTCGTGGCCAGTGAGAGACCTTGTCTCAAATGAAGTGGTGGTGTTCTTAAAGATGGTACTTTAGGTTATCTTCTGACAACATCATGCAGATGAATTAAAGAATAAATGTTGTTTGCCAATGATCGTGCTATCCAAAGAAGTTGGGGCCTAACAGTTTGTGAAACTGTTGTCATTTAGTAAGTTCTGACATTACAGAAAGACACAGATGATTCTATATTTCTGACATCGTGAGCTTAGTTTAACTAGAAAATGATGGTTGAAAATGACAAGGAGTGCACTGGAGGGCAAGGCCCAGGAGTGGTCAGAACAAAAGGTATCAGCCGTAGACTAAATGCCTTAAATTAGAGGTGAGGCAAATGACAAAAAGGTTCATCTGCTGAAATAGATATTTCTTCCTTTCTTAAACAATTCCCATCCTTCAAAGCTCTCAAGTCCAGCAAATTGTTCCCGACAGTCCTTTCTCCAAGTCTCTTATCTGTGATACTGTAAGGGCCTCTCTATGCTCTGTAAGATTTATAATTCAGAGAGCCAGAAATGTACTAGTGACCCACACCTCCTTATTTTAGAGGAGTTGCAGACAGCAAGCTCCCAAATAATTTAAAAGTAGTATAATGAAAGCAAAATTTGCATGATGGTACCACCATTCCTTTTCTAGCACTGGTGCTTATCTAGAACAGAAAACTGAAGCTTAAATTAATTGTTTATTGGAATAACATTTTGATATATGAAATTACATTCTGAAAAGGGAGCAAATAACAATTCTTTGTCCATTTAATTATTGAATATTGGCAACCAGAAAGAGTCGTGGTGCTTTTAGATAGCAACAACCAAGGAGGCTTGTCTGCTCAGGGTTATGAAAAGGCTAAAAGAATTTGCAGGGATGGATTATATCTTGCTTTATAAGGAAAATTAGTGTTCTCTCTCTCTGTACACATGCATGTCTTTGTGTATGTGTGTGTGTGTGTGCAGGTAGGTATATGAAAATGAGAATATGATTGTGTGTGTGTGCGTGCAGGTATGTATTTGAAAGTGTGTATATAATTGTGCGTGTGTGTGTGTGTGTGTGTGTGTGTAGTCCAAAAGTCAACCATGGGTGCTGTTTCTCAGAGCATCTACCTTGTTTATTGAGGTGGTCCCTCACTGGGATGTGGGGCTCAATGGTTAGACTAGGCCAACTGGTCAGCATGCCCCAGGGTCCTGCTGTATCCATCTCACTGACACTTGGTTTACAAGCAAGTGCCATCATGTTTTCTTTTTGCCCTGGGTGCTGAGGACCAAATTCAGGTCCTCACTGTTGAGCAGCATACAGCTTAGACTGAGCCAAGTTATCTGATAGGACGTTTATTTCTTACAAGGCCCTTATTGCACAAGTTTTTTTTTATTTGTTTTTTAATTATGTTGGTTTTATTATCTGTCCTTCAAAGCTGTAGTTTACACTGAGTTTTGAATGGTGGACCATTTTATATTCCTGACAAACACTACTTGCTTGTAAAATATTACTTTTTTATGTATTTTACGAAAAGGTTTGCTAGCATTTTCCTGGGTGTGTTCTGTTTACTGTCAGGCAAGCTACTCGTGTGCCGTTACCAGGTGCTCTTGTTCTCCTTCTCACTTCTGGGATCAAATACCTGACAAAATCAACACAAGACAGGGAAGGTTTATTTTTGGCTTACAGTTTGAGGGTGCAGTACTTCATGGTGAGGAAGTCACAGGAGCAGTTCTGTGAGTCCGTTGGTTACATTGCCTCCTCAGTCAGGAGTCAGAGGGTGCAGCATGCTGCTGCCCAGCCCCCATTTACCTTTTGATTCAGTCTGAGATGCCAGCCCATAGGACATTCTTATCCCAAAGGCACCGCCCACTTTAGTATGCATCATCTTACCTCAATTCATCTAATGCAGAAAATGCTTCACAGGCCTGCCCAGAGATTTTGTTTCCATGGTGATTCTAAGTCCTACAAATAGATAATCAAGATCAGGCATCATGTTAGCTGTTTATTAAAGGACTAATATTTTCTTTGATTATTTTAGATATGATCAGGAAATAGAGATGAGCAGATAGCTATGGCTTGAGCAGGGCTCCCTCGTCAGTTTCTTGCACTCAGATTTCCAGTCCTCCCCCGTTTTTGTCCAGCAGTTGCATTATTCATTTTCTGCAGTTTTGATAGGATAATAGGACAGCTGGTTTAGCACATGTCAGTCATGGTGGGCCTTGATCTCTATGAAGATTTCACAATTATTCTGATTTGCAGCAGTTTTTTTTCTCTCTTGAGAATGCTGGACTCTTTTTATATACTTTTTATATCACATCTATTACTTGAATTTATTTATTCCTTTATTTATTCAGTTATGTGTAGTTACCAGTCTAATGCTTATAAGATGGTGCCAATCAAAGCAGTCAATGCAGAGTCAAGAAGGTATGAGAGTTGCTTCAAAAGAGGCTTTTATCAATAAAAAATAGAATTTATATTTTACTGAAATTGAATTCATAAAGTAATTCAGAGGAAGATTAATGTCTTTGCACTATCTCTTGTATGTCACAGACAAGGTTTAAATGCAAATGTTCTTTCTTAGATGTTGATTTGCTCACATTTAACTAAAAATAATGATTGTTTAATTAGTCCTAGGTATCTGATGGAATTGTTGCTATTATCAATAGATATGTTAATTTAACATACATACTTGAGCTTAACACTGAGGTAAGAAAATACCTTTGTTTCTTGAATGAAATATTTACTAATTTTTGTGTGAAATCTGATAGTTGTTTCTTTATAGTTGGTTGTGAAGTACTGTATCTCTAGGTCATGAACTGTGTTCTGCAAATCAATGGTTATTAGTATGGATAAATGCGGTCCCCTAATTAATATGAACAGACAGCATATTCATTTAATTCCCAGGAATTTGGTATTCATTCAGTATGGCGTTGCTACTGGAGATTTATGGCTGTCTCGGGAAGAAACCACTTCCTGCTTTGGGTCTAAGACAGGGTCTTGCTTGTTTCTCAAACTTACATTCATTAGGAGCTTCTTGATTTTATTTGCTTTACTAAAAATTCCTGTTTGCCTGAAACAGTGAGAATACACCTGCAACAGCTGGTTTTCCTTTCTCAACTATAACATAAGAGATTCTATCCTGACTTTTTCTAGGCAAGTTCATCTTTCTTAGGCTACTCCATCATGAAAATGAATGGATGTGGGTCTACTCTTACCTCTTATAATATTGTGGTTTTTTTTTTTACCTTGACATATGTATGTGCACACACAATTGTGTAGCATGGCATGTGTTTAGATGTCAGAAACAAGCTGTGGGAGTCCATTGTTTCCTTCGGCCTCTAAAGTTGTGAGGACAGAGCACGGGCCATCAGTCTTGACAGCAAGTGTGTTTATGTCCTCAGTAATCCCACTGGACTCATACTTTCTATTCTTAAGACTCTGAATTTTACCTTAAGTGAAACACACAATTATCATTCCCATTTTTCACTGGATAGCAGTCAATTATGAATGAAGTGTCTCTAGCACAGCTCATATTTTACTCTGCAGTCATTTGGAGGACAAATTCTCATTGAAAGATAAGAACAAAACAAAACAGCAAAACAAAACAAAACAGGTTGATATAGCAACAATTTGAAGAAGAAAGAGTACCGGATCAGAGGAGGCAAATTTCAATGCCTGCATGAAAGGAAGGTGAACTTGTTCTCGGGATATCTCAGCACAGCAGTTGTCAGTTTTTGATGTTTGCCAGAGAGTGTTGGGCAGAAACCTCAAGTTCAGCCCCTTGCCTTGGACCAAGTTTGTGACAAGAGCACTCTCTCTCTCTCTCTCTCTCTCTCTCTCTCTCTCTCTCTCTCTTTCTCTCGCTCTCTCTCTCTCTCTCTGTCTTTGGTTAAAACAACTTTGACTCTCACACTGCCATTCTAGGAAGACAGCAGCTGAATATAAGCATTCATCATAAATATAATTTTCAAAAACAAGCTCCTTTTAAAGAAATATGCCATGTAACTCAGTTTCACTAAAATCACTTGACCCTTAGTAAGCTGTTATTGTAACTTCTAGGCATTTGCTCCTAACAGAATCCTTGTGATTTTTGCTGAGAAAATGTTTATAACTGGAAGACTGAAGAAGTATTGGCAGGTTTGGTAAGGAACACTGGGAATTAAGAGTAGCTGTCGTAGAACAGGGAGTAGCTCAGCAGCAGGTAAAGGCCCTCCCCACAAGGTTGTGTACTTTGCAGCTGCAACTGAGCAGCAGCGGCTTTCTCAAACTGTTGGCTACAGTTTCTCTTTATTTCACAAATTTTGTTGACTGTCCAAAAGGACAGAATGGTGTGAAATTGGCTACTTAGAAAGAGTTGACATGGGCAGGATAAGACACGCCTGTAATCTCAACACATGTGTGTCGGAGGTGAGAAGAGCAAGAATTCAAAGATCCATAGCAAATTCAAGATCAGCTTGGGCTGTCTGCATCATACAACTTATCCTGACAAGACCAAGAAGACAAAAAGATGGTTAGGACATGTTTCCCAAGTCTGACTCTTCATGACCAAGCTGTTCCAACAGCACTTTAGAGGTAAGTAACCTTTTAGAAATAGAAGTGCCATAGTTATAGTCAATGTTTTCTTTATTATAGGACTACAGGTAGTAGGGAAATTTTGTATGAGTTTTTAAAATTTATGTTGCTAAACTGTTTAGGCACATAAGGGACGTTAAGCTCAGCAATATAACACAGAAAGTGTACTCATCAGTTAGAGGAAAAAACCATGCTTTTTATTAATTTTTCTATCCATTTATTCGTTTACACTCTTTTGGAATGCCAGGTGGCTTAGTAGTTCAATCGGAGTATTCGTGAAGCATCCGTGAAAGGGTGCACAGAGAACTGACAGACGGCTTTTTGGAAAAACAGCATCATGAGAATTAAGATGTATAATAGCATTATATTTTTATTTGCTCTGATTTGCCCCCTGATTTCTTGCTCTAGGTGAATCTAGGATAGAGGAAAAATACTGAGGAAGGAGTTAAAAAATGTCCTGGAGGCATTAAGCCGGTGTGCTTCTGCTGTAGAAGGGAGACAGTACGTATAATGCATCTGTGGTTCTGTGCAGACTCTGGTTGATTTATCAAGAGAATGGAAATAGTGCTGTCACACCTCCTCTCCCCTCTCAGTATTACCATTTCCTGACTAAATCGAGCTATTTGTTTATGCTCACCCACTAGAATTTAACAAGGAAGAGCATCTGAAAACATCAGCAGTTTTGCACTGGCAGAGAGCACCCTGTGAGTGACCCTGCTGACAGACTTGTGTGGTCCTGAAGGTAACACACCTTGCATCTGTCACAGGTGAATGGGCTCAATTAGCCAGCAAGAGAGAGAATGTTTCAATTATTTTTTTTAAGGCCCACAAAAAGGAAAATATTTTCCTCTTCATAAGTCCTGAAGGAGAGGTGACTTTGGTGCATATGACAATTTTTTCCCCTCTCTGGCTTCACAAATAAGGGGACTGAAACAAAACAGCATCCTTCACCATGATGGTGGAGTGATTTGAAACAAAACTTCAAGGGAGAATCTTCAAAAATAAAACAAAACAAAAAATTAGGAGGCATCAGGGTTTCCATGGATTTTAATATGTTCTTAGGCTTCTTACGGTTCTACAGTTTCCTGATCTGCTTATTAAAATCTCAGAAGAGGGGACTGGGGTGCTACATTTATCTAATTATTTATCGATAAAAACTGAGAAGTCAGATATCGGGGCAAGAACCTGATTAGAGAAGTGGCAGAGAAGGGACCAGTGACTTCCTATCTGTGTTGCTCCTCCATCCAAAAGGGCCAAGATACTTTGTACCCTGCCCTACTACTCCCCCACCCCCAGTACTCCAAAACCTCTAAGGTTAATTTTGGTCATTTAGTAGCAAGCTCTGCCCTCTGACTTAAAGAGAACTTTATTGTTAGAATGACATCAAAATATCACACCATAACTTAACATATTCTTTATTGCATAAAATTAAGTGGACAACCACAATTATGCTCTAACTTGTGCCATTTGGGAAGAAATATCACTTTTAGCTTTTGGGGTAATAATTATGGGGTACTAGTTATAGGGGTGCCTCAACTTAGCTACTGACTAGTTAACTGAACCACAAGGGTTCCCAAAGTTACATGGTGCTAGGAACCATATTTGATAGAATTGTGGGAACAGAATGAAGTAGTGTTAACATTAGAAATGGGGCATAAATTTAAACCGAAAACATGACTAAGAAGGGGCCTTGGAATAAAAATAATTATGAAGAAAATGATAAAGGAGGTCATCTGTGTTAAGAAAAATACATGATATCTGTCCTGGTTAGTTTTTTATTTTTTTAAACAGTTTGACACAGGTTAGAGTTATCTGGGAAAGGAGCTCAATTGAGAAAGAAAATACTTCCATAAAATTGCCTATAGGCAAATCTGTAGGTCACTTTCTTGATTACTGATTGATGTGGAAGGATTCAGTTTACTACAGAATGCAGTGGGAGCAATGTTGCTGGGGTAGGTCATCCTTGTTTGCTTAAAAAAGCAGGCTGAACAGGTGATGGGAGCAAGCCAGCTTTGTTTCTCCATGGTCTCTGCTTCAGTTCCGGCCTTATGTTTCTGCCTTGAGTTCCCTCAATGATGGAATGTGACCTGAGTATAAGCTGAAATAAACCCTTTCTTCCCCAGTTACTTTTGATCACGGTGTTTTTGTCACAGCAATAGAAACCTTAACTAAGTGTCTAAAGAATGGAACTAAAAGCTTCTGTGACTACCTTCCAAGAATGACAATCTGGGGTCTCCTTCTTGTCTGTAAACTGTGGTATATTTATTCATTTACTCTCCCATTTATTCTGTGAGTCAGGAACCATATACAAATAGTTTTTTAAACTGAGCCATTTACCTTTATATTTTTTCTTTTATTTCTTTTTTATTTTTTTGCCTTTTTATTTTTTTCCTTATTTATTTATTTAAAGAATTTCCACTTCCTCCCCTCCTCCCAATACCCTCCCGCTCCCGCTCCCCCCACTCTCTCTCCTCCTCCCTCCCCATTCCCAACAGCAGTCAGGGTTTCCTGCCCTGTGGGAAATCCAAGTTCCTCCCCCCTCCTTCCAGGTCCAGGAAGGTGAGCTTCCAAGCAGACCAGGATCCCGATAAGCCAGTCCATGCATAGAATCAAGACCCAGTGCCATTGTCAATGGCTTCTCAGTCAGCCCCCATGTCAGCCACATTCAGAGAATCCGGTTTGATCACATGCTCGTTCAGTCCCAGTCCAGCTGGCCTTGGTGCACTCTCATTAGATCAGTCCCCTTGTATCAGTGGGTGATCGCACCCATCGCGGTTCTGACTTCCTTTTTCATGTTCTCCTTCCTTCTGCTCTTCATTTGGACCTTGGGGGCTCAGTCCAGTGCTCCAATGGGGGTCTCCGTCTCTATCTCCATCTATCATCTGATGAAGGTTCCCTCTGGTTCTGCTTTCGTTGCTCACGATCTCCCTCCCTCTGCTTCTCATTTGGACCTAGGGAGTTAAGTCCAGTGTTCCAATATGTGTCTCTGTCTCTATCTCCATCCATCGCCATATGAAGATTCTGTGGTGACATGCAAAATATTCATCAGTATGGTTATGGGCCCAGGCCAGTTCAGGTACCCTATCCTCTGCTGCCCAGGGAACAATCTGGGGACCTCTCCTTGGGCCTGAGAACCTCTCCAGAATCAAGTCTCTTGCAAACCCTAAAATGGCTCCCTTAGTTGAGGTATAAACTTTCCTGCTCCCATAGCCATCCTTCCTCCCTCCTCCTCCCATTCCCCCAAGCGATCCCCAATCCTCCCCCTCTCCCCTCTCCCTAACTATCTCTCCTTACTTCCACTCCCCCACCCCGTGCACCCAAGTTTGCCTGGCAATCTTGTCTACTTCTAATATCCAGGAGGATAACTATATGATTTTCTTCAGGTTCACCTTCTTATTTAGCTTCTCTAGGATCACTAATTATAGACTCAAAGACCTTTAACTATGGCTAGAATCCACTTATGAGTGAGTACATACCATATTCCTCTTTTGGGGTCTGGGTTACCTCACTCAGTAAAGCGTTTTCTATTTCCATCCATTTGGATGCAAAATTCAAGATGTCATTGTTTTTTACCGCTGAGTAAAACTCTAATGTGTATATGTTCCACACCTTTTTTAACCATTCTTCTATTGAGGGGCACCTAGGTTGTTTCCAGGTTCTGGCTATTACAAATAGTGCAGCTATGAACACAGTTGAACAAATACTTTTGTAGTATGATAGGGCATCTTTTGGGTATATTCCCAAGAGTGGAATTGCTGGGTCCTGAGGGAGGTTGACTCCCAGTTTCCTGAGAAACTGCCACACTGATGTCCACAGTGGCTGCACAAGTTTGCATTCCCACCAACAATGGATGAGTGTTCCCCTCATTCCACATCCTCTCCAGCACAGGCTATCATTGGTGTTTTTGAGTTTAGCTATTCTGACAGGTGTAAGATGGTATCTCAAAGCTGTTTTGATTTGCATTTCCCTGATCGCTAAGGAGGTTGAGCATGACCTTAAGTGTCTTTTGGCCATTCGAAGTTCATCTGTTGTGTATTCTCTGTTCAGTTTAGTACCCCATTTTTTAATTGGATTAATTAGAGTTTTAGTGTCTAGTTTCTTGAGTTCTTTGTATATTTTGGAGATCAGACCTTTGTCTGATGGGGGTTGGTGAAGATCTTCTCCCAGTCGGAAGGCGGCCTTTTTGTCTTACTGACAGTGTCCTTTGCTTTACAGAAGCTTCTCAGTTTCAGGAGGTCCCATTGATTCATTGATTCTCTTATTGTCTGTGCTACTGGGGTTCTACTTAGGAAGTAGACTCCTGTGCCTATGTCTTGTAGACTACTTCCCACTTTCTCTTCCATCAGGTTCAAAGTGGACAGATTAATGTTGATGTCTTTAATCCATTTGGACTTGATTTTTGTGCATGGTGATAGATATGGATCTACTTTCATTCTTCTACAGGTTGAGATCCAGTTATGCCAGCACCATTTGTTAAAGATGCTTTCCTTCTTCCATTGTATACTTTAGATCCCTTGTTGAAAATCAGGTGTTCATAGGTTTGTGGGTTAATATCCGTGTCTTCTATTTGATTCCATAGGTCGACTTCTCTGTTCTTATGCCAATACCAAGCTGTTTTCAATACTGTCGCTCTGTAATAGAGTTTGAAGTCAGGGATGGTAATGCCTCCAGTAGTTCCTTTATTGTATAAGATTGTTTTGGCTATCCTGGGTTTTTTGTTTTGCCATATAAACTTGATTATTGTTCTCTCAAGGTCTGTGAAGAAGTTTGATGGGATTTTGATGGGGATTGCATTGAATCTATAGATTGCTTTTGGTAGAATTGCCATTTTTACTATGTTGATTCTCCCAATCCAAGAGCAGGGGAGGTCTTTCCATTTTCTGGTATCCTCCTCAATTTCTTTCTTCAAAGACTTAAAGTTCTTGTCAAATAGGTCTTTCACTTCCTTGGTTAGAGTAACCCCAAGATATTTTATGCTATTTTTGGCTATCGTGAAAGGT